GATTGTTGTGTTTTCATTGTCATTAAATGGTACAGCCGCTTTATTTTTATTTATTTATTTTAAATCCTCACCTGAAGATATTTTTCCATTGATTATTAGAGAGAGTAGAAGAGAGAATAAAAGAGAGCAATATTGATATGAGAGAAACACATTGATTGGTTGCCTCCTGCCCACACCGGGACCAGGGCCCAGGCCCAGGAGGAGCCTGCAACCAAGGCACATGCCCTTGACTGGAATAGAACCCGGGACCCTTTAGTCCGCAGGCCAATGCTTTATCCACTGAGCCAAACCAAGGAGGCCCGTGCAATACTCACTTCTTGAAACACTTTTTCTGTGGCTTCCCTTTGGTTTATTTGTGACTTCTTTGCCCTACTCGTCTTTTCCTATTCTGCTTTAACTCTAAATGTTGCACTTTAGGTAATGATTCTAAATTCTCTTCCAATACCACACGTTTCCCACAAGTGATGGTACCAGTTTTCATGGGTAAGTCATCGCCTCTAACTCCAATATCTCTAGCCCAGCGATTTTCAACTTTTTTGATCTCATAGCACACATAAACTAATTACTAAAATTCTGCAGCACACCAAAAAGATTTTATATATTTTGCTCATCTGAAAAAAAAAATAGGTGTAATTTTGATTCATTCACACTGGGCAGCTATTGTGTGAGCTGTTGTCATTTTTTAAATTTAACATCTCAGGGAAAAGAGCTCAGTGCCCCTGACTAAAGAGTCAGATATTGCATGTTTTAAAAATTCTTGCGGCACACCGGTTGAAAATTGTTGCTCTAGCCCAGTGGTCGGCAAACTGCGGCTCGCGAGCCACATGCGGCTCTTTGGCCCCTTCAATGTGGCTCTTCCACAAAATACCGACTTCTGCGCATGGGCCACGAAGTTCCAATCGCACTGTACATGCGCGCCCACACTCAAGGGGCCAAAGAGCCGCATGTGGCTAGAGAGGCACGGTTTCCCGACCACGACCCTAGTCCAAGGATTGGCAAACTCTTTCCATGCGCGCCTGCACGTGGTATTTTGTGCAAGATCCACACTCAAGGGGCCACAGAGCCGCATGTGGCTCACGAGCCGCAGTTTGCCGACCACTGCTCTAGCCCATACCCTTCTCCTGGGTACCGGACCTATGCATTCCTTTAACCATTGTTTATTGAGTGCTCTGCTGATCACTGGTAATACAGTGGAGTCAGTGTCCACATGGACTGTTCAGTCTGGTATTGGATACAGATAGTAAACCAGTAAACAAGAAACCAAATACATACAGTTTTGAAAAAACACTGAGCAATGAAGAAAAGGAATAGGTTGCTATAATAAAAATAGAAGGGGGGGTGGTGTCAGGAAAGATTTCTGAGGAGATAGCATTTATATTGGAAGTTGAAAGATGGGAAGGATTCAGCCAGGAGAAAAGCATTCCCAGGAGACTAGGACAGACCAGCTGAAGATCTGTACCACTTGAGTGCTTGGGGTATCCTACTGGGGACATTTTGTTCTTTTTCCAGGGCTGGATTGTAAGACCTCAGAAGAAGGGATCTGGAGTGTAAGGAACTTTTTATATTTTCTAAGTGTACTATGTATAGTAGAACCTTAATAGACTTTTGAGGAGGATGGATAATTTGTGTCTAGAAGGCACCATTTATATGAACAGAAGGGGCATTGAATATAATTTATTTAAACAAGCTGTGTAAGGGTGTTAGATGATAAGACTTAAAAATGATGAAAGAAAAGTGTTTTAAATATAAATCCAGGGCTAAAGTATCATGTGAGCTTTATTATATAGTTTTCAGTCTATTTAAAACTGCTAATTATAAGTGTTGTATATACTTTAAAAAAGTAGTCTCCTGTGTTTAGCAAATGATTATAACTTTTCTGATCTGCTTCCCCCCTTTAATAGACTTTACTTTAAAAAAAAGATTTTTTATTGATTTTTAGAGAGAGAGCGAGCAAGGGAGAAGGAGAGAGAGAGAGAGAGAGAGAGAGAAAGAAAGAGAGAAACATCTTTGTGAGAGCAAGACATTGATTTGCTGTGTCCTGCTGCTCCCTACCAGGGACCAAGTCTGCAACCCAGGCATGTGCCCTGCCTGGGAATCAAACGGTCAACTTTTTGGTGCACAGGATGGCCCAACCAACCTAGCCATATCATCCAGGGCAATAGACTTTACTTTTTAAAGAGTACTTTTAGATTTACAGCAAAATTGAAGTGGAAGATATGGAGATGTCCCATATAATCCTTGCTCCTACCCACCCATCCGTAATTTCCTTCATTATCAGCATTCCCCACTAGAGTGGCACATTTTTACTGTTCATGAACTACATTGACACATCAGTATCACTCACATGTATAGTTTACATTAGGTTAATTCTTGGTGTTGTGCATATTTTAAGTTTGGACAAATTTTAATAATATATATCCACTATTATAGTATCAGAGAGTATTTTCATACCCTAAAAATCCTCTTTGCTCTGCATTTCCATCTTTCATATCTCCTAATCTGATCTGCTTTTGAAAAATAAAAATGACTTGCCGGATTTTAGCTTGTTTTCAGTTACATTTTGTTAATATTTTAGCGTTATGATTCATGCCAATATTTCTGCATGTAGCTTTTTCTAGTAAATTTTTCTACCTTTTTAAAGCTCTTCTCCCTTTTGGCATGCTACGCATTTTGTTTGTTTTAATTGTTTAGAATACAGTTCTAGAAATATGAAGACTATTAAGCAGTGGTTCTCAACCTTCCTAATGCCGCGACCCTTTAATTCGCCAGGTACTTGTATGTGGGCGTATCTGCATGTGGGCGGACCCGCCTGGAGATGGATAGAGAAGCAGTGTCTCAGTTCCTAAGACCATCGAAAATATGTGTTTTCCGATGGTCTTAGGCGACCCCTGTGAAAGG